AAAAAAAAAAAAAAAAAAAAAAAAGAGTTATGTCACAGATTGGAATCAATTATCAAGGAAGGGTGGAGAAGGAAGCCAGATTAGACAGAAGTAGAAGTGGAGATTTGGCATGGTGTGGCTTCAGTATTTCAGAGGCTACAAAAGCTTTTAGAGTTGTCTCCAGTTGAATGAAGAGGTCAAAACATTTTACCCCAACACACACATAGTGTTCACAGGGAGGGTCAGAAGCCTGTCTTTATCACATGCAGTCCCTGGAGGCCTGGCAACAGAAGGGTTCCTTGATGGCTGAGGGAGCAAGTATACCACACGCTAAGAAAATACTGGTGAAAATGCTAATACCTGTAGCATGTGATGATTTCTATTTTTTTCAAAATGCTTTCATATTAATGCATGTACTCAAACTTCACAAAGTCCCTATGAAGTGACCCTATGTCACCAATATTCTAACTTTCAATTCCACAAAGCTAATTACAGATATGGTAAGCATCATCAACACCCACAAATTCCCCAGATTGTTAACACTGAACTCTTTCCTTTATTACAGTACCAGGTACAAATACTTATGTTCGATCAGTATGGCCTCAGGTATCTCTGACACATTAAGAAGTCTTCTTGTGATATTAATCTTTTGTGTCAGCTTCATACAAAATAATTTTTCTCCATGTTCTTCCTTTTCTGCCTTCTTGATTATCAACTTGTTCTCCTATCTCTTCTGATTTTCTTAAAGCTTCAGAATAAATACAGTCAACATTTTCATACTGCTATTACTGAAATTTTAATGGTGCATAAGTCCTTAAATTTCCTCAACCTTCTATAGAGAATAGATAAAAGAGTGACACTGAGAAAAAAGGATATGTGTCCTTCGTATTTATAGATGTGCTTCAGGAGCTTCAATTTAGCACTTCCAATTGTTCTATATTACCCCATTCTGGAGAGCTTCTGCAGCTGAATTCTCTTTCATCCTACTGTTAGGAAATGGTACATGCTAATTTCTAAATTGGAAAAAAAATATCAACTTACAAAAAGGATGGCAAGTAACCATCAAGGAATAATAGCAGTAGTACACCTCTAACAGGAATACTTAGGAACTATTACTAGTTCTGAAAGGTCAACTTAAAGAAGTCACTCCTGGAGTCCAAAGTCAGTAACTTCACAGGTCAGTGTGGTATTAGCATAAATATGTGTGCTTGAGGGGCTTCACTTCAGTACTTCCCTTGTTCTTTCCAATCCTACTGGAAGATGAGCTTCAGCAGCACAATCCACTATCATTCTACTGCTGCATGTAGCATATCCCATGTTCCCCTATTGATCAATCTAGGATAAGCAGCTCATTACTCCCTGCACCTGTGTTACCGTGTACTGAGCATCTTTATGCAGGTTTTTGTTCCTTGTGTTCTGTCCTTCCAGTGATGGCATCGTATCCAGTGCTGCTGTTCCTGGCTACTGTGCTGCATTCATTCTTTCCTGCATATGGAAATGAGGTATGGCTAAGGTGGCTCATCTTTTCAGAACAATTCAGGCAACCAGGAGAAAACACCAGGTCCTGGATCCATCTCCAAAAGTGAACAGGGCTACCAGGTCTAAGACATGGCAAAGTGTTCACTGGTAGCTCAGGGTAGTTAACACACCTTAGAACTGTGGTAACCAGAGGGGGACCCCAAGCTACATGAGTGTATAGTGCACTGGATATACATTTCCTCTGAATCAATATAGATCACAATAATAATAGTAATTGTGTTAACAGAATCAAACTATCAACCTGGAGACTTTTTTTCTCATTATTGAGGGTTTCATACAAGTAATTTCCTGTCTTTGCAATTTATTTTCTATAAAGATTATATTGTATGACTTTTCCAATGACCTGTTACCTCTCTGGTCTGTTTCCTGTTCATCACATGTAAAGTTTTAAAAGGGGAATGACAGAGAGATCCAGAAACATCTTTTGTATAGTCTTGTTAGATCTTGAACATGTAGAATTCATCCTGCCTTCTTCAATATGTCACAAAATTCCTCCTATCATTTTTGCTATGTGCTATTATAATGATTTACTTATGCCATATTGCTTATGGAATCTAAACACTTTAAATTAGATTCTAATTTTCAATTTTATACTGTGTACTTTTAATATTTCTAGTCAGGTACTAAATGGTTTATTCATATTTAAATAGAAAACCAAATATGTATCTTAATCAGTAGAATTTTTATCTATAAAGCAAGATGGTATAAGAAGTAAAAAGTCATTACTTCTTTCTCAGAAACCCACATTTTTGTGTTTTAAAATGAAACTACATTAATAAGGTTTTTGAGGTCAACAGTAAATATCTAGGGGTTTTACTTTCTGCTTTGATAAAACACAGAAATTGGCCACTCTGCATTCAGTTGTCAAACTGATGAATTTTGTTGTGGAGTCCTTAAACTATTGCTGTAGGACATTGGGCATTCTTTCCACTTTAGTCAGTAGCTGTGCTGAGATCTATTTGAACAAAGCATCACAATGGCAATGGTCCCTGTTCTTAGGAACATTAAAGCAGGAGGGAGTAATGAACATACTATTACATAACAGCAATAAAACGTGGTTACATCTGTGAGAACAGAATTTGGAGAGTCTTGAGGGTACTCAGTATGGAGGGATGGAGGATAACTGATCCCAAGGAATAATATGAAATCTAAAGCATTCCTGCCACTTTAGACTTATATTTGAAATTCCTGCTCATTCCTATAAGATAGCATGTTGTTGTGTAAATTTGGATCAGCAAATCACTTTTATCTCTTGTGCCAACAATTCACACAACCTCATTCTACTTTCCAGACCCACACATATACAAATAAATAAATAAATAAATAAATAAACTCAAATATCAGCATGGGAATTAATATCTTCTCAGTTACATTTCTGGTAATAAAAAGATAGTCATCTCCAATCCCTTTATTGAATGACTTCATTCCCTTCAAATTGCCTTGGACATTTTTTTTAAAATATGGTAAAATCATCTTTTGAGGGAACCTACAAAATTTGCTACATAATACATAAGTTCTTTTACTACATATGGAGCACTACATATGCACTTGGTCTATGCCTAAATATTTCTCATCTAGACACCTGACACCCTGTCAGGTGAATGTTACTCCTAAAGTCTACAATAAATCATGTTTGTCAACACTTAACATTTCCTTGCTGCAGCCTAATAGAGTGTTAATGTCTCATGGTTTCTACCGTGTACTTAATGATACCACTCATATAGCCAGAGAAAAGGAAACTTTTTCTTAAAACCAAAACTGGTATTTGTGGCCTCAGTGAATTTTTTAATTTGTCATGCCATAAATTACATCCCCATTCTCTAAACTTCAATGGTCTGCTTTTCCATTTAAAAGTCATAGCTTTGGCTTAGTTTCATTGGCAATGCTTAACAACTAATGTTGGTTTGAAATAAACACTTTTTTAAATGATTCTTAATCTCTTAAAAAATTAAAGATTTATTAATTATTACATGGAATTTTCAAGTATGCTAGAATAATTCTAATTGTGTTTCCCTTTAGAATCAAGATTTGAATGCTCTGTCAACCACTCAAAAGGAAGTTCAAAGTGAGATTGTAAATAAGCACAATGAACTAAGAAAATCAGTATCTCCCACTGCCAGCAACATGCTAAAGATGGTAAGAGTTAGTAATTTAAGGAAGGTAGCTGGAGGCACTCTGAGCTGTGTAAGAGCAGACATTTGGTAGGTGGCATCACGTAACATTGTGGCTTAGGAAGAGCTGCCTCTCATTTGTAGTTTCATTTGAGTTGTGTTATGTTCATGGCAGAATTTCTTCATTTCCTTTTATAATGATTAAATAACTTGTCAGCTTTTTGGAGCAATTTAAGTTATGGTAAGAGAATTGAAACCAAATCCGTAGGTATCCAATGAAAGGCCACTATTCTGCTCACTCTCCTCTAACTCTTAATAATACAGGAGAATCAAGAAGACTTCTTTTAGGATCAGATCAATGAAACAGTCTACTTTTCTGGCCCCAGCATCAAAGGTCATATGTCTCCCTAAATTAATCAATAAGAACAAAACAAAAATAACAGAAGGAGTTAGGATGACGCATGCCAGCTCATTTCTATCGTAAAAAATCTTTTCAATATTTAACATGATTAACATGACTTAGGTGTGCCTGTTGTGCCATCATGTATAAACCAATACCTGTCTTAGAATGTTCAATTACTTAGGGTAGACACAATATGTATATTTCTTTGGAGCAAAAAAACAGTAATTTTTTTTTTTTTGCTAAAACCACTGGCAGATTCCTCTATGGAAATTGTATAATGTGAAAGACCAACATATGTATTTGACTGCAAAGATTAGTCACCTTTGAGTTTGGAGCTATTAAGTGCACATCTTTCCTTTCCTTCTTTTAGAAATGGAGCAATGAAGCTGCAGCCAATGCCCAAAAGTGGGCCAACCAGTGCATTTACAGTCACAGTGCCCCAGATGCCCGAAAAACCAGTATGTACATTAATAAATATGTGTTGGACAAATGGACAATTAAAATAACAAGGGGCCATTTTATGATGTTTTGTTAGAAAACTTTAAAAATAACACTGCTGCCTTTGTCTCTATAGTAGAGAAAACACTGAGATCACTGCCTTGTACTAATTGTTTGTATTTCATAAATACTCGCACAGTATCATCTTTGAACTTATAAACTAGCTCAGGAGTCAAGCAGGTCATGGATCACCTTTATTCATTTGAATAAGAAAACCAACTGCTTGGAGTAAAATGATTAATAATTAGTGTCATACCCTAAATTATAATTTCTAAATTCTAACCCAGTATTTCTTTAATAAAAAATGTAGCCTCTTTGTGTCTTAATAATGATTTTTAAGTTTATAACATATATTAAATTTGATCAAATTATTTCTATTTTACTTAAAAAATATTTAATATATCAGTTACACTTATTTCCTTTATAAATGTGATGACAGAAAATCTGGATATTCTGGAAGCCCACCAAGCATATTTTCTAAGACTAATAACCTATAAGACATGACTTTTACATCAAGGATCATGAAACAATGACATAAAATATCACATAAATGAACTATGAGATACCATTTTTTGAATTATCAAAAAGACCTAGATAATCAAGCTCAACTGGAAAACAGATATCTCACAAGTATTAAGATAGGATCTCATTGCTATTTGTATTACTGATAATACAATTTAAAAATCATGAAGAAGCATGACTATATTTGGTACAAGATTGAAAGAAATGCACTAAAAGATGCCAATCTTCTGTAAAAATCTTCTTTCTGTCTCTTTTAAAGAAGCTATCAAAGAGTAGTTTACATTCTCTTTAAGAAGTATGCAGACATTACATTTCAAAATCCAAATTTAAACATTTGCAGAGCTTAAAAATACTGAGATACTTTTAAAAATTGAGATTTTGGGGGCTGCAAGACACTTTTTCTTAATTCTAGGAGGAGAGTTTAGCCTATGATATTCTGATTGGCTGATTAAAGGTAATATACCCAAGTGACTTTAAAAATACTGTCCGTTGCTTCATACTTCAGGTACTGAAAGATTGCCTGTAAGATTTCTTTCAAAGTGTACACAAAATAATGATCCTTAACAGTTATTCACATATTTATATATGAAAATCTCTAGTGAGTGTGGGCTAGAGCAGGAAAGAAATTGCAGGAGTTGGTGTCTGCATTCAGGATGATTACCACAGTAATCTGAACCCACATGAGGCAAACACCTTGAGGAAGTGACTGTATAAATGAGTGAGTCCAGGGAGAGCAGATAGTAAAGGAAGACTTCTCCATCTGCCTCAAGCTTTGCATGTGTGGCCAGCATACATGTGTTGGGCACATCTGACTAACATACAGCCACAGGTGCTAAGGACCTGAGGCACCCTCCTTATGTGTTATCCAGGTGTCAGTGACTCTGGGCACCATGTTTGAAGCATATGGACTCTGTGTCTGTATGAGAGCTTCTATGTGTGCATTGCATACTTTATTACTTCCCTCACGAAAGATTTGTTCTTTTATAGATATAAGCTGTGGTGAGAATCTCTTCATGTCAGACTACCTTCCTTCATGGTCAGAAGCAATCCAAGCCTGGTATGATGAGCACCATGATTTTATCTATAATGTAGGGGGAAAGACACCTTCTGCAGTAGTTGGACATTATACTCAGGTAAGAAAAGAACTGGAACACCTGCTGCTCTACATACCCTAGAAGTAAAGACTCTCCAAATTTGACCGATTCGAATATTGAACTTGAGGGAAGGCCTTAAATAGAGATAGAATTGTCTGGATCTTTGTTGAGTATCTGGGCTGTCATTTTTCAATAGCTCACAGGCTTTTGGTAAAAATTAAAAATTCTCTGCATTTTTATAATATTACTCTAAATGGATAAAAGAGAATAAATGGACATAAAAATGTAATAATTTTAAAATGCTTTAATTTGATTCTATAAATTAAATATATCCATAAGATATATGTAAACAAAGTAGCCTTCCTTTCTGGTGTGTAATTCTTCCTATTTTATATTTTCTTCTTCTCTAATGTACTCCTATTTTCACTTATTGATATGTAGGTGGTTTGGTACTCATCTTTCCATGTTGGATGTGGAATTGCCCTCTGTACTAATCAAAATTTAAAATACTTCCTGGTTTGCCAGTATTGTCCCGCGTAAGTGTACATTTTAGAATGTTTTGCTATTAATGTCAAATAATACCAAATGCACATTAATGTTTCGATTCTAAAATAATAATGAACTAAAAAGTTACTCAAGAAAAGGGGAAGGAAATGAATTTTAGAGGACTTTCTAAAGTTGAGACATACATAACCAAATTCTCAGAAAGAACAAATTCCCAATTCCTAGATTTCTGAAGCTTGGTCCCAATGCTTACGATTTGGTTTCTCTCTCTGGTGCCATTCCCCAGACTTAGTGTTACATTGTGAGTACATGTGTAGTTGTGAGTGATGTACAGTTTTCTGGATTTGTACTATCATATCTTTCTAAGTTCACACACTAGAAAGTGAAAGCTTGATGTCAGATCAGGGGTAAAGGTGAGAACAAACGAGGCACGATGTATCTCACTGATTTGGTTATTCCAGGCCTTTCTTCTCAATGTTGTTACTCCTGCTTATCTAAAACCCTTGTCTTATTTCATTAAGAAATGGTCAATTCTTGAGCTTCAAAGTCCTTTAAGGGAGTCAATATTTTTCAAATTGTGAGGAAGATAACACCTTAAGCCTTTGCCTCTCAGAATTTGTGACAAAAACCACTGTAGGAACAATTGATTATGATCTTAATTTATAGACAGAAACCAACCCTTTCTTAAAGAAATATGTTTGAATGTTCCAAAAATTTTAAACGCAATCCTGTGAGTATAATGAACATATATCCACAATCTGTCAGTTAAACTTTCTTTTTTAAAAAAAAGTATTTATTTTTTAGTTGTAGTTGGACACAATATCTTTAATTATTTATTTATTTTTATGTGATGCTGAGGATTGAACCCAGGGCCTCACCCGTGCTAGGCAAGTGCTCTACCACGGAGCCACAATCCTAGTCCCTTAATTTATTTTTAATACATAGATTTTTTTTTTTTACACAGGAGGTAGAATGTGTTTTCAACCAAGCTCCCAACATGATTCATTTTGAAGTTCTAGATAACTCAGGTGACGTGGTATTCCAGTTTGAAAAGACACTATTCAGTAAGGTCCTATTGGTGTTAGGTTGAGAGTACTGAAAGACCCTAGGAGAAAGCATCAAATGCCTTGGCCAAGAGGAGATATTGAGAGCATGACACCTGAAATAAGAGTTATTGAATAATAAATGGAGGCAAGGGGGAGAATATCCTGAACACTTAGGTCATTTTACAAGTGCTTACATCCATGTAGCTATACTCTGTGTGCAGAGGTTGAGAGAGCTTCATTGTCTTGACCCTTGTCCCTCTTGATAAGCTGGAGAAATTCTCTTGTATTTTCACATGTTAATGACCAAGAGGATAAAATTCCTAATAAGCTACAGGATAGTTACTGTAAGACTGAGATTGTCACCCTTAATCTTTTTTTTTTAAATAGATATATTTTTAGTGTGGATTAACCTTTATTATTTATTTATTTGTTTATATGTGGTACTGAGAATCAAACACAGTCCTTCACATATACTAGGCAAGCACTCTACCACTGAGCCACAACCACAGCCCATCACTTTTAGTCTTTTTATAACATTCCCATTTTTGATAAACATAAAAATTTCACATCACACACATGCTACTTATAGACATTCCCAAATCTTCTTAAACCCTATTTCCTTTCTCAAACATACACCAAAAATTATTTGAAAATCAACAACCCCACCTGGAATCCAAAAACTACATTGAAGCTTTGCTTACCCTGTTTCATATTGTAGAAATTATGACATTGTTTCATTTTTAATTGCAAAATACATTTAAGTGGTATTTTTCATACTGTACCCCTTTGAACTACATAATCTTCTTTTTCTCTAGGTAATATGTTTTACCCCTAGCCAGCACCTTGTTGTACTTCATCTTAACAATTCAACCATGTCTGTTGGGAAATGAAGAGAGTATTCCACATTGAAATGCACTCTCAACACTTTAGACTAGTTATTCTATTTCAGTGTCTCAGGTTCTGAATTTACAGTCAAGGAGATTAGTGAAATGGTGAGTTATTCCCTTACTTTGCATTGTTATCTGAACACACTTAGGTAATGACAGTTTGCATTGGTTATTTAACATAAGTAAAAACATTTAATAAATATCTATGTATATTGGGGATGAACATTAATCTCAGAGTATAAACTAAACAGAATATCTTTTTAAATGACATTTTTTTCATTTAAAATTGCAGTGGCAATTATCTTAGTAGAATAAATACCCCTTATGACAAAGGAGCACCTTGTGGCAGTTGTCCTGGTCATTGTGAAGATGGACTATGCAGTAAGTTCAAAGTGATTACCTTGTTAGTGTAGTAAAAGAGCATGGCATTTTATTTTTAAAGAATTTAAAACTCTGAATGTAATCAATTTAAGTGATACCTTCATGCAAACCAATAACATACGAGTATTTTTAAGTACAAATTTTTCACATTTCTGTATCTAAGCATTATTTGAAATGAAAACCCTATTATCATATATAATCTAAAGAATTATCCACAATTTATGTGTATTTATGACTATACTTAGCTTGCTATATATTGGCATCTATGAAAATGTTTCCATGGGAATAATTCATCCTTGCATCAAGATTAGTGTCATTAGCTAGAAGCAGAGGCCTGCAATCCCAGAGATTCAGGAGGCTGAGGCAGGAGGATCACAAGTTCAGTGCCCTAAGCAACTTCATGAGCCCTGTCTCAAAATAAAAATAAAGACTGGGGAATGTAGCTCAATTGTAATCCTGGGTTCAGTCTTCAGAACCAAAAAATAAAAAGAAAAGGGAAAAGACTAATGTCAATGTCATTGTATCAAAGCTGGCATTTTTAAAAGGGAAAACAGATACATATTGAAGGGTTTTAAATGATAAAATATGGCTCAGTCCAGAGAGGCAAAACAAAAATAGCAATTTTTATATGCCAATAAATTTATCACAATTCCCTAATTCATCCATAATGTTCTTAGAATTGTTACATTTAATTTAAAATAACTTACACCTCCTTTCGTTAGTAATGTGCATACATTTTTAAAAGTTAAAATCAAATCCATATATGATATTATTTCAAATGTTTTAGAAAAGAGAGAGTAAAATAAATATCATATATGACCTAATATTCAGTATTATTAATGGAATTACAAAGAGTAAGGATTTGGGTTTGTGAAATTATTTGTGTTAGTAAAATTATTATGAACAATGCAAGTGACCAATTCACTAAGATTTTTAACCTTTCAAAATACATTCATCTGAGTAAATTATATCAATTCTTTCTGAATCAATTTTGAAACTATTCTTCAGCATTTTGATGATGTCAAACCTCTAACTAAAGGAAATAAAATCCAAGTGTCCATACCTCGCTAAGGAAATTTGAGCCTATCCATCAGTAATGAGTATCTACCTGAAAGATTTTACACAGAAGTGTTATGATCAGGAGTGTGTTTTATAAAGAGTTCCTAGAGGTAGTATGAAGAAATAATAGAATAAAAGCTAGCTATGAGACAGTGGATAAATATGGACTCACAAACAAATATAAATCTTTACTGTATTAGTGCCAAAGGAATGAAAAGTAGTAAGCAGCTGAGAGAAAGAGAGAGAGAGAGAGAGAGAGAGAGAGAGAGAGAGAGAGAGAGAGAGA